ACTCAGAGAAGAAGCTCCCTGAACGTACCTCGTCCCGCGCAAACCCGGATACGCTGCCTACTCACGCTCGCCCCCAACACCTGAGGCGACCATCTCTATCGTCGCGGCCATCTTTGGAGGATCACCGCATTCAGGCCCAGTCGACGGATCCTACGTTGAGCTCATCAACACAAGTCAGTCGGCCACGTCCCGCCAGCACCAGTTTTGAGTCCAGCACTCTGGATTTCTTGCGGGAAAGGGAATTGGCTGCCAAGCCTTCCAGGATGACAGTGCAGTCATCAATTCAGAATCTACAGCGGCGGCCAGCAGTTGCGCCTCAGGCAATCAGAGTGGAGGCCAGAAAGCAAACGGAAGAAGACCTGTTACTAGACGTGACGAAATCCCCAGTGACAACTCGAGATGAACAAACTGATATCAATCGGAGATCGACTGCCTCAACAGCTTCTGGTCCTAAGAAATTAGCGGGCAAATATGGTGATGCTTTCAACCGGTTTGAAGGCGCTTCACCTCAGGAATCGGTAGGTATAATTCGGTCTGAGCTGCCTGAGTCACCTGAGATGCCACAAAAGTCTACACCTCACCATGATGCAAATGTTCCACCGAAGCAGGAACCAGCCGTTGGTCCCAGTGCCAATGCCCTGATTGATATTGACGAGGACAGCATGACGCCAGAAATGAGGCGCGAGCTCGAACGGCAAAAGCTTGAAGAAGAAGAAAAACGAGTTGCTGCCGCTCAAGCCGAATACAAGAACCGGGTTGGTTCATCTGGGAAACCGGTTCCCGGCCCCAAGATCGTGGGTGCTTCACAACGCAAAGCCAGCACGATTCAAAGCCGCGTGCAGAGCTTGCTCAGTGAGGAGCAGAAACCATCCCCTGTTCAAAGGACTGCCCACGGTTATGGCAAATACACCGATGACCAGTCCGCGGCGCCTTCCGGTCAGAAACCAACGCCAAACATGGTTCGCAAGCCAATGGCCTCCAGACCAACAAGTGCCGCCCCTTCCAATGACACCAGGTCCATCACGGTTTCTACATCCCATTCAATGCCAACACCATCCCAGCCAAGATCTGCGGGTCAAAAGCCACCTGCGCCGAAGAAAAAACCCACTCATCTAAATAGCTTCCCAACAGGACAGCGTCCGCCATCACCAATTAAGCAGAGCCAATATGCCCAGTCCAAGCACCTCATTGCGGTAGACCTCCCAGGTCAACCTGTTCTCGAGATGTCAGTCCAGGATAAAGAAGACTATATTGAAGATTTTACAAAGCGATTTCCCAGTTTAAGTTCAATAGAGATGGAATCTCAAGGCAGTCGCACTGGTGAATCGCGACGATGAACAGCCTCTGCGGGGCTTGGAATATAATGTATTCTTCATGATAGCATAAGCATATAAATGAATCAGTGCTCTGCACATTTACGAACCAATGTCATATTTAATTCAATCTCAAACAACCCAAACGTTGTGACCACGTGCTAATTGTCGAAATGTTTTCCCTTGCTGTGGTACATGTCTGACCCACTTCACTTCACAAGCTCTTATCTTATCAATACTGCCCAATTTTTTTTTTTTTTTACCCAGTATCATTAACCACCCACCCCCAACTTATATCAGATTTATCAAGCAGCATTTGATCACAAGACTATAAGATGGTGAAAAGAAAGAGACAAGCCGTCAACGGCAGCGACTCCGCCGTGGCTAACCCTGTCCAATCCAAGAAATCTAAGGCAGCCGATACCAAACCGAAATCTAACCCGTCCTCACTACTTCATCCCGAAACCATCCAGATCATTGTCGGGTCTTATGATCAAGTCCTGCACGGCTTAACTGCCACCATTTCCGACGATAAGACCGAATTTGCAGATACCTTTCTCTTCAACGCACACAATTCCGCTATCCGATGCGTAGCGGTGTCGCCTCCCTCCGCAGCGGTGCCTGGACAAACACAGAAGGTGCTTTTGGCATCCGGAAGCACGGACGAGCGAATCAATATCTACAATCTATCGGCGCACCCTCCTAGTCGGAAAAACCAAGATCTTCTCGCCAAGGTTGCGCCGCGGCCTATTCTTGAGAATCCCAAGAACAGAGAACTAGGGACCTTGTTCCACCATGCTTCGACAATAACTGCGCTTCGCTTCCCGTCGAGATCAAAACTTCTCACTGCCAGTGAAGATTCTACCATTGCGATTGCCAGAACAAGAGATTGGTCTGTATTAAGTACCATCAAGGCACCTATCCCAAAGGCCCAAGGCAGACCAAGCGGTGATACGGCGGCATTTGGGGCCACGCCTTCGGGTGTGAATGACTTTGCCATTCACCCTAGTATGAAGTTGATGATCAGTGTGTCCAAGGGGGAGAAATGCATGCGTTTGTGGAACTTAGTCACTGGCAAGAAGGCCGGTGTGTTGAGCTTCAGCAAAGAAATGCTGCAGGAGATTGGAGAGGGGAGGCATTCTACAGGGGAAGGGAGAAAAGTTGTCTGGGGAAATGCCGATGGTGCGGATGAGTTTGCCGTAGGGTTCGACCGTGACGTGGTGGTCTATGGGATGGACAGCGTGCCCAAATGTCGTGTCATGACGGGGCAGAGAACCAAGGTCCATCAATTCACCTATATCAGCGCCGACAAAACGTCGCTTTTGGCGGTCGCTACCGAGGATGGACGGATACTCTTCTTTTCCACCAGGCGGGACGATTTATCACCGCCAGAGGAAGTCAATGGGAAGAAGGGGACCCTGTCTAGTGCCAAGCTGGTGGGCTTTGTAGGTGGGAAGGCAGAGGGCATATCTGGCCGGATAAAGGATATCGTGGTCTTGCCAAGCGGGGTTAACCAGGGGACGTTGTACTTGGTCGGAGCAAGCAGTGAGGGCAAAGTTCGGGTCTGGATACTACAAGCAAAGGATTTGGTTGCGGCTGCTGCGAAGGATAAGACGGGCGAGAATCCAATTGGGAAATTGGCTGGCACATTTGAGTCGGAGAATCGCATTACGTGTTTGGCAGGATATGTGATGATTCCTCGGCCAGACGGTGCGGAAGATAGTGAGGAAGAGGACCCAGAAAGTGAGGTTGAGGAGAAGGACGACGACGACGATAGTAGTAAAGATGAAGATGAGTAGCACACATATAAGTTGTAATATTGAAAAATAACTGCAGTGTATCTGAGCATATGCGCCATCTACGGAGTACCTGGCTCCGTGTGTAGTATTGTATCTACGACATTGCCAGATGTACATTTAAAAGTACCTATACTCCCTCCTTATAATGAATGCCAATCAGAAACATGCTCCTATCTCTTGGGGCCACTGATGTGCCCAGCAGCTGAGAATTGTGTAAATCCATCTCAAACAAGTGGAGAGAAGTCGCTTCTTTATCGATATTCCGGGAGAACTTTGCCATCAGATGGCAAGAGACGACGCGCCTCGCAACGAGTTCATGTTCCATTTCCGTAGGAATAAGGTTGTACGGGTTTGGCAACCATGATGCCGCTGCTCCAAACAAAGGTCGTCCTGCATTCCAAGGCTGCATTGTTCTCGGATCACCCCGAGAACTCACACAAATCATTTCATCATTCAACGGTCATGTACGGAGTATGACGGGGAAAATGGATCACAATGAAATCCGCTAGCGTCGTGGTTGTGATGGGCCTTTTACAATTACTACGGCTTTTGGAACTAGCGGTGGTTGGAAGTTCAGTTCCGTGTTCAAATTATGAACATCTCGAGTGGGTACTCTGTGGTAGTTATATGCACGGAGTAGTAACACCGGTGGCCGACTTGGCACATCCGAACTGAGCCACCTGTGGGGCGCTTGGACCGGTTGATCCTTGGGGGACATGGAACGTCAAGTCCGGGCTGGGAGCTAAAGACCGCCACTACCAGCCTGTCGAGCCACTCAACGGCCAGGTTTTGATGGAGCTTGCTGGGGACCCACGTCGCTATCCACCTGTGCATAAGCATGGAGTACAAATGCGGGTGTTTTCAATGTTGTCTGATCTGTTTGGGCTGACAAGCAAGCTGCAGGGCTGCCTGGCAACTGGCAAGCTGGGCGGAGGGCTTGTGGAGAGTGACTAGGGTACTTAGAAGTAAGTTGTTGCTCCCTGCGACTGCAATTCACATGCTAGATAGTACGACCAGACGTATGAAGTCAAGTCACTCAAGTGCTTTCCTTTCCCTCGCCCTTCACGTTGATTCTCCCATTTCTAACCCTTCCAAAGGGCTTCTTCAAGACCACATTGGCTGCCACTGCATACCTTGACCTCTGTCGACGGCCATTCCCATCCTGCCGTGCCGCCCGTCCATCATCTTACTGGCCGTATGGTCCTGCTGCATTCCACCCGCCCACGCACCACATGCCAACGTTGGGCTGAGGACTCCAAGAGAACAAGCAACAAACGCTGCCCAGCACTTCGGCCTCGTCGTCTCCGACTTGATGTTGAACACTAGCCGATTCCCACTAGCATAGCCTAGTCTCCCTAGTTTTTAAAGCTGGCTCCATTGCTGCTACATCCTTGATTCATGCAACGTCTCAGAGCGGGCCGGTTGTCGATTTGCATTGTTTAGCTCCTCACCACCAAAACAGAGCTCTACAATAACGAGTAAATCGCCCTCCCAAAACCCCTTCGCATCAGGGATCTGGTGTTTCATTGAATGACAGCTGCCTCCACATCATCGATTTGCGTTGGGTCGCTCGTGGGGGCTCGCGGGAAACATTGACGATATCGGCCAGCTGCTTGTCGTTGCCGCCGCCTTGGGAAGTTAAACCGTCACCCCGCTGGCCACCAGAGCTTGAGTCTCCATTCCTCAGCTGCCACCTCTTTTTCTTTTTTTCCCTCCTTACTCTCATACTCTTGTCTCTTTTTTGCATCAAAAGCCGCGCCTCCCCTCAGATTCAAATACTTTGACAGGCAACTTCGGACGAGCACCCAGACCACCTCCACGTATTGAGACACCAAAAGGGCCGGGGGCTACGACATCGATTTCAACATAAATCCCCACTTCCAACACCATGCAAACCTCTGCACCCCCGGTCATTGACCAATCTTCCCCAGGCCAAACCCCCGTCCAGGGGCAAGATGTGTTCTGCAACAGTTCTTGGAGCACCCTTCAATCTTCTTCTGCAGCCGTAACCAGCGTTGATAAGAGCTTGTCCCGTTCACCGACTCTGCCCACAACAGCCTTTGCACGAAGACAAACTTGGCCTGAGCCAGCTTCTCCGACAAGGCAGTCTCCGCTGCGGAAGTCTACGGTTCCAGGAGACGTGCAAAGTTCGGACGAGGAGGTGTTTCCAGTTCCGGGTTCACCGTCTACTCTCGATCATTTACGCAAACATAGGGCTAAGATGTCTTTGACGGGAGACAGGAAGGGCAGGGAAGCACTGGACAGATCTCAAGCTCGGCCTGGCGCTTGGTACGTGAGACGACATAACAGGGCCGTTGAGGATAGTCCAGCAGAAGATAGAACGTCATCACCTGAATCCACACCTACCAAATCACGAAGCTCTCCCACTGTGGCCGCCCTATCACCTGCGGCCAACATTTCTCGACAAAAGGTCACTTCGCCTACTTCAGCATCCCGGTTCTCCTTCTTCAATATGGCCTCGACGCTGAAGGGTCTAGCATCCGCTCCAGTCTCGGTGCCTAAGGACGACGAGCTAATGAATATCGACATTGATGCAGCTCTATTCCCCGGCGGTTCGCCGTCCGACGGCGAATCCAACTCACCCGCCGCTTTCAAGAACTTACAAATGAATGCCCTCGGTCTACTACGAAAATTTCAGGCAGCCTACCAACATAAGGCCATTGTATGCCAGGAACTCCGTGCCGAAAAGGATGCCCAAGAAGAGGAGAAAATCGAAGCCGAGACACGGGTTACTCATCTGAAGATGCAGTTAGAAGGCATGGCACAAAAAGCTGCAGAGACAGAAGCCATGATGCAAGCTCTGCTGGAGGAACTCAGTCGCGAAAAGAGGCTACGCGCAGAAGAAAAATGTATCAGAGAGGGCGGCATTTTATCTTCCGGCATGTCAACCATATCCGAGGATCTCGGTGTGGAAGACGACCAAAGGAAGAAATACCGCCGTCGAAGTGGTGGAACTGCCAAATCTGACGAGGCGAGCTTCGACACTGATGATGAAAGTGTAGATGAAGTCAGTGTATTTTCGAGGTCACGCAGCCCCACGCTGCCGGCTAGTATATCCGACGCGCATGGCGTCTATGTCGACAACGGCAACAACATCTCAATGCCACCAATACCAAAACCCACCATGCTGGAGCCGCCTCGTCCCACACGCCAATCCCAACCCCAAATGTCCACCTTTCAAAAGCTGTTCAAGGGTATTTCTGGCGATGCTGGCAGAGATGGTGAGCGAGCTATTGTCCAAGGCTGTCGAAATTGCCAGGGCCAAGATGCTGGCATGGCTTGGGATACGGCTAGTTTGTTAAGACACGAGAATGTGTGTTTGAAGAAGAGAATCGGGGAGCTAGAGAATGCCGTTGACGAGGCACTTGATGCCGTCATGGGCCTACGGGCGTAACAAGTTTGCATGGAGAACGTGCATTATTTTTCAATGTTGATAAAAATGCTGTCTGGACTAGGACCTAACCGCAGTTGGGTTCATCACGAGACTGGGTAGGCTGGATGCAAAAGGCATTTTATTTGTGTAACGCATGATGATAGATAGATGAGCATATACCCTATGACGAATTACAATTCAATCAGCTGTCCCTTATTTCTGGTGTCTTTTGTGATTAGCTTCTGACGGCTTACTTGATTGTGAATGCCTTGAGCTTTGTAGGCGTGTGGTTTGTAGCAACACAATTTCTTATTTCAAGAGCCAGATGTCTTATTGCACATATCTATTCTTACGAAGGGTGTTGTCCCTTGCTATCGCTCGATTGTCCCAATCAAAGCGAATTCCTTGAGCGTCGATCTACTATTCTCTCCGAAATAGTGATTCATCGCGATATATCACAAGGCCTTTATAAATAGTGGTCAGTGGCTTTCTTCATCCCCACTCCGCAAAATGGGGTTGCCCTCTCGTCAAACCTGAACTCTCTTGTAATCGGCCGTCTACTTCCACGCACAAGTCCCGTCTTGAAAACAGCAACGCATCCGAGGCTGCTTTGCATCAAAAATTCTATTGCCCAGCTCATATACAGCCTAAGCAAATCGTTTAACAAAGAAAAAAGCCAGCTCTTTTTTTGGCCGCTCGTATATGTACATATTTCCTCTTCTACATCCCCCAATCTTTCGGGTTGTACACAATCCCTTGTCTCACTCGAATTCGGATTCTCACTTCCCCCTTCCCCCCGCCCCCAGCTCATATCAACCCGCGCGATGGTATGTTTAGTGGTGGGCCTCGCCGTGGTGCTCGTCTTCCATGAAGAAATGCTCGTAGACGCAGTATCCGGCGAAAGCGACGGTGGCGGTGCCCAGGCCGGGTAGGGAGCCTTTGAAGCGGTTGAAGCGGGAGAATGTGCCTGTATATCTCCAGGCCTCACTACAATTTCACCAAGTCAGTAATCAGTTTTTAGAGTCGTTTGGGCTGCCGGAATTGCGAAATTCGCTGGGTTCGTAGAGGGGAGATTGTGACGTACGCTCGTTCCCAGGGATCGTATCGCGGCTGGCCAGCGGCCTCTTTGAACGCTCGCATGTTGAAGCCGGTGATGTTGGCCTTGGACCCGCGGGCCGCTCGGAGTACTCTGTTTTGCCGGGCGTTAGCTATATTTGCGTCGATGGAATGTTGTTGCACGCGGGGAGCTAGGGAGACGTCGCCTGCTCACTCGCACAGGCACCCAATTGCGCTGAGATCGTACCTGGTAGGAAGCATCGTTTCCAGTTGAGCCGCCTATGACCAGTGGGCGACGGAATCGGTGTGGTGAAGAGAGTGCGTGGTGATCCGAGGCTAAGAGGTTATTCGCAGTCTGGCACTCTGGAGGGTGGTTTGCCGGCTGCTTAGGATCCCACAGAATGGACGGCCGCTCATTCGTCGCTGGCCCGGAACAACGTAGTTGCTGGTGAGCGCCGTCCTTCTGAGAGGCAACGACTTTGGGCCCCACGTACCTGCCAACTTGCGCAGAGACGGTGCACGGGCCACTTGCAATTGGGCAACACTGAAAGTAAACCCGAGTCGGTCTGAGCAGACGGCCTTGCCTTGAATCGGAGGTCCCATCGAGGTCTTCTTGAACTACAACTCCAGCTTTTGAGGCATCACGCGAAACGCAACCCACCCACGTTTGTCAGTTTACGCACCGCACACCCCAAGAACCGTCGTGCGGTCACCTTTGGCAATCAGCTCCCACAGCCTTACTGTACCCTTGCCGCCCATCGAGCGAATCCACGGGAGCACACGCGTGCGAACGGAGTAGCTTCAGTGCTAACCCCTCGATATCTCTGGACCGAAAAGGTTTACCTGCAAATCAGGACAGCGGCGGTATATCTGCATTCCATTCTTTCACGGACGTGTTGCCGCGATTTGTCCAGGTTTCATCTTGTCTGGTGCCTCTTCCTAGTTGGTGCCTCGAATACTGTTAAGGCTGAAGCGTCCGTCGTTTTCCCTCGGAACAGCTTCACTCGACACTTGCGCCTGTATTCAATGAATCTTGATCAGCACCTTTAGGAAGTGCCGGTGCACCATCCATATCCTATTATCACCCGAAAAATTTGGACGCAGACGTGCAGGCGAGCAGTGGGACAAGCAGGGCGACTTCCTTGGGGCCTCGAACAGGAGCCTCTCAATCAGCTACCACGACATTCGCAGCAGGGGAAGAAGCAGAAGCAGAAGAAGCTGCAACAGCCGCCACCGCGTCCACAGCCTCCTCCCAACGCTCCTCGCTGTCCGCGACAGACACGACAACCTATTGAACAGCTATCCGCATCGCAAGCGCAGCAGCGACAGCAGGGACGACAAATATATCCATATACTCCCAGGGGAGCTCGTCCACATTCGCGCATACGTTCTTCCATTAGGGATCAAGTTCCCTCGCAAGTAATATCTCGGCAAATCCAACCGCAAACTCCTATCCGTCCTTCGCCGCCAAGGGGTCCGGTCCGTCAACAATCTCGCCGAGGTGCACTTCGCCGTTTATGAGGTGAGGTAGTAGGCTAACTTTTGCGAAACAAGGCGAAGCAATCACTCACGGAATACTCGCCGAGGTATGGTGTAATAGTCCGCGACCACAGCGTTAACATCGGCAATCCCCTACCGACCCTTGGCCGTTTCAAGAACAACGAGGACCAATCCCGCTTCAACAAGAACATTTCCAACCACCCGTTAGTCATACTCATACATCCACCACCTCTTAACAACCACTACATCAGAAACTGGCTTCACCCGGGACTTCTATAAACTACAACCAGGCTTCCCCGCCGCTTTCCTACCATATGCCACCACCGATCCGGGGCTTCGGCGCCGGTCCTGGCGTTGGTGGGCCTTTCCACCAACCCGGATTCTCTTCTCATGGACAGCCTCAAGGCGGGCCGATGGGTGGTAACCAATATCTGAATGCCAATACCCAGATAAGCTCCTTTGCAGGAGCCAACGGCAACGCCTTTGCTGGTCTCAATGGGTCAGGATTTGCTGACTCCGGCTTCGGCAGCCAGAGCGCTAGAATGGGCTTTGCGCATGGTCCCGCTGCCGGATTGCAACAACCTCAGCATGGGGGGCAGTTGCAGCACGGTGTATTGATGGAGCATCCGACAATGAGAGCCCAAACTAATAAGGGAAGAATACGAGAGGTCTGGAAACATAATCTAGAGGAAGAAATGGCGGTATTAAGAGACATTGTGGACAAGTATCCATTCATTGCCATGGTAAGTCCTTATTACGCTTTATTCATGGCCGCCCCCAACCAGCATTTGTACATTTTGAATGCTAACGGTACGAAACAACAGGATACGGAATTCCCCGGAGTTGTTGCCAGACCTATGGGCTCATTCAGGGGCAAAAGTGATTACCACTATCAATGTTTACGGACAAACGTCGACATGCTCAAGGTTATCCAAATTGGACTGACTCTGTTCAACGAAGAAGGCGAGACTCCACCGGCAAGACCCGGACCGGACTTGGGACTTGGACCCAAAGCCATGAAGGCGGCCAGCCAGGGACCTTTCCCGTACTCGTGGCAATTCAATTTCAAGTTCTCCCTCAAGGACGACATGTATAATGAAAAGTCTATCGAGTCGCTGCAGCAGGCTGGTATTGACTTTAGTCTTCTTGAACGAGATGGCATCGATCCCAAGGCATTCGCCGCACTTCTCATTCCCTCGGGATTAGTATGCTTTGACGAAGCTAGATGGATCTCTTTCCATGGAGGGTACGATTTTGGGTATCTCACAAAGCTGCTAATCTGTACGCCGCTGCCCAACGACGAGGCTGAGTTTGACAGCAAGATGAAGCTGTATTTCCCCACGACATACGATGTCAAGCACCTCATGAAGTATGCCATACGGCTACACACGCAAGGATTCCTCACGCCTAATGATCCCGCTGTAGTTGAGATCTTGAACAAATTCGAGCACAAGTCTGGCCTGGAGAATATTGCCGAGACGTTCAAAGTCAAACGAATTGGGTCAGCGCATCAGGCTGGGTCAGACTCTCTTCTTACTGGGAAAGTATTCTTCCAGATGCGAGATAGGATCTTCAATGGATCAATTCCTGAAGACCACATTGGTAGAGTCTGGGGTCTGGGAGTTCCCGAAGGTCCAATGCCTCCTATGATGCCGCAGGGTGGCAACGATCATGGCCAGAATGGCGGCACCCCAAGCACGCCCAACCAAATACCCGCTAGCCTCATCAGCAGTCCTGTAGCTACACAGAATCACAATTCCAATGGAGGTATGTCGCACATGGGTCCTATGACTCCCGGGGGAGGTGGCGGCGTCTTTGGAAGCTTCGCCTTTGCCGGCAACAGCAGATAGGGTTCTGCACACGGATGCCAGCTGCCGCCCATGTCGTAGAGCGGAGGACCTAGTGCGCACTCTTTTTCCTTGTATCAACGGGATTGATCCCTTTTCTGCACAACTGTAGCAGATGTAGTTGTTGATAATGAGTCTATTTTGATATTGATTGTTTCGCATGCATTTGGGTTTGGTCGGTCTGGTCAATGGGGTGCTTGTCATCTACCTCCTACTCTTGATTACATTTTCAATCAAGAGTTTTCCGCTGTCTCCTAGATTTGCTCTCTCTGATCAGTCATTGACATGGAATTGTGGGTCGTTGTGTCCCGGTCGAAGAGCCTGAAGGAAGCAAAGTTAAGCATCCCGTTGAGTCTAGGAGGCATAAGCGGTTTACGGAAATACCTGGACTGGATATTTCTGGGAGTTTAGGACGGTAAGAAGGTCGGGTTGGCACACGGAGTGGATTGCAGCGAATAGCTGCATTCGTCAAGTCGGAGTTGTCTATTGCCAAGGAGACTGAGATGAGAGATGTGCCGGTTTGACTGGCCTATCGTCTAGCCGTAGTTTCCAAGCGATCATGTATTGTAGCGTCGTACGTACACAAAGGGTCTGGATGTCCCTTGGTACACCATTTTTTTTTTCTCAGCTAGTTGAGATGGAAAAACAGGGGTTTGTAGTCTTGAGTGCCATTCTGTGTTCTTGAAACGCTGTGACGTAAATGACAGGGTACACCATATAAACATAAGCTCCGCTTGCCCTTGTACGCCAGAATAAAAAAAGTCATGATCCATGCCAACAGTTCCCTAGCATGTTACCCCTATGTAATGATGCAGTACCGATTCCAAGCCTCAAAAAAGGCCCCCTACGTAATGTACACCTTCTTCAACCCTTCAGCGGCAAACACCTCTCCAGTCTGGATATCCTTCACCAATGTGGGCGGTAGCCCCGCTTTCTTTGCTTGATCCTGCAACCTCTGTGATCCGTACACCCTTCCGTTCGGCAAGAGCATCAAATCGTGTTCCACGTGGCTCTTGGTATGATGCGCATAGGGTACATTTCTAGCGAGCTCGTTCAGCTCGGTTGAGCAAATGGGACACACGCCGTGGCCGAGGGTTGAGGTGCCTTCTCCCTGGTGCGAGGCCGATGAGTGACATGCGGGCGTTTTCAGGGCAGACAGGCCTGACGAGAGAGCGACGTGGAGGAGGGGAACGGACGGCAGAGTAAGGAGGCTGTTGTGCGCCGTGGTGAAGAGGTCTGCTAGCTCGGACCAGCGGGAGGGTTTGTAGAAGTCGGAGTAGGCGGATGATGAGTGGCCCCCTGGGGGGAAGGCGAGGAGGCCGCATGCCTGGGAGACCTCCTTGGGATACGTCTTCCAGTAGGGGATCAGGTACTTTTTGGCGTGGGTGATGGCTTCGAGGAGTTTGGGTTCGGATTGTGTGCGGATCAGTTCGATGTACTGCTGGAGGCGGAGCATGAATTCTAGTTTGCTCTGCGATGCATGTTAGCTTCCATAAAAGGGGGCATTGTAGGTTGTCGGCGTGGCCATACCTCCATCTTTCGCAGCTCCTTCTTGTTGTCGGTACACCAGGCCAGTGCTTCCGCGACGCTTCCACCTAGGAGCGCTTCTCGAATTCGACTCATGTTCACAAAGGTGTCGACATCGACTAGGTCTTGCATGTCTTTTTCTTCAGCTAGCTCGCTCGCGCTCTGGTTGAAGCCACGTCTTAGTAGGTAATCTGCTAGTAGGCGGTCCAGCCGTCGTCGACTCCACGCCTCGTACTTGACGTCGTCTACGCTGCGCATCGAGTATAGTTCGTCGAGGTGTGTGATGCGGGCGGCTGTTTGGTGGTGAAGTCGTGCCTCTTCTTCTGCGTACGTGGTGAGCTTCCGCTTGACTCCCCGCATTCGGGTGATCATGGTGTCAATGTTGCGGAGGACATCTTGCTGTGAGGCTCGGCCTGACACGGCAGCCGTCGCAGAGTCCTTGAGCAGGGTCTTGAGCGTGGATGTGTCCTTTTCGATTGTGAAGTGAGCAGAGCGAAAGTTCTTGCGGAGGAGTTCGTGCGGGAGGCGCAGAAGAGGTTGGTCCTGTTGTGCCGTCATGTGGTGTTAGCTGGTGGCTAGCCGCGTTCTCCAAGGGCTACGAACCAAGAGGAGGTGCTCATTATGTTTGAGCGTGGATTGCTCGTAGATGGCCATGATGGGGTCTGGGAGAGACTACTGCGGCGGATTCGAGATTTTCATTGATGAATCCAGGTTACAGAGCCCGGCGACAATAATGTCGAGGTCGAGTTTTGGACGATGATGTGATGAGGTCGACCGATAGGTAGATGTCGTATGCTTGTGGACCCAACAGGCTAGAAGCTCCTGCATCGGCTTAGGTGGCGAGCCGGAGGCTTACCCTGCATGGGACGGAAACTTTGGCAGCGAACCATTTTGAAGCTGCAACTCAAGAATACACACACTTTAATGCGGCCTTGTTTCCTTCGAACTGGTTTTCTTTCTTGGCATGTTTTCATTCCTGGCCTCTGATCGTGTAGTGGGTGGAATGCAAATGTAAAGACCTAGGTCAAGGAGTAGCCAATATGCATCGTTGGCTAGTCTTCCTGACGAACTCAGACATGAACTTAAACACTGATTATATTCTATTAAAACGTAGCATCAAAGACTAAAACTCCGAACCTGCATTAGCCGCTGCAGCCCGTAAAATCTATTTCCATCTGTAGAGTCACCGCACCTTGGCGGCATGGTATGGAGTGCTCCGTACTGTGTAGTGTTTGTTAACTTGACTGATGCCTGAATGCACCGATAGGCAGACTGATCGAGACGAAACCGGTGAATAAACCGGCAGATAAGGGATTCGATGCTGCTTACCAATAATACCATGAAAATAGTATACCTGCGTACGATACAAGCTGCACTATGATTCACCGGCTGGCACTCAACCAAGGCGGCCACACAACACCATCGTTTCTGTGTTACCATCGTTGAGACATGCATCCATCGCTTTGATAAAGTGTCATCCCTTTGAGTGCGGTAAGGTGCAGGTAACGCCTTCTACGGGGATAATATTCAATGCGGATTAAGAAATGGGTAGGTCCATGCTGTCAGAATGGGTCACTTATTACGGGTATAAATTACGTACGCTTAATTAAATAAGAGTAAACCCTTAACCACGAGTAAATAACCCTAATAATAAGCGCACTTATAAAAAGAGCGTATATAATTCTCTCTTTTATAGCTAAATATAGACTTATATATATATATTATTAGTATAATTAGTGCTCTCTAAAGTATAATAGTTATAAGCTTAAGAGGACTTTAAATCCCTTATAACTTTTACTTAAGAAAACCAAGTATTTAAGGTATTATTTTAATACTTATTTCGTTATATTCACGCATTTAATAAATACTAATATTACTCTTATAAACACCTAATTATTTACTAAGCTTAAGCTAAAGCTTTTAAGCTAATAGTATAATTAATATAAAGTATTAAAGGGTTAAGCTTAAGCTAATAAGCTTTAAAATATTATAAACCTTAATTAATTAAATTACCCGGTTAATACGTTACTTACTCCCCTTTAGCCTACTCTAGTAAAGGCTTACGTAAGCCTACTATTAGATTAATAACCCTTACTTAAGGTAAAGAATAACTTTATTATATTATATACTCTTTAAGTTATATAATTATAATATAATAGTAAGCTTAAAGCTTACGTAAGTAAAGAGATTAAAGTACATAATATTTATAAGTGGATCGTATATATTATTAAACTAAGTATTTATGAATTTATTACACTTTATCTTATTAATTAATATTTAAAAGGTTATACTTTACGGCCCGTGGGCACAAGAAGAAGGCAGGGGCACGTGACCAGCCACGTGACCCAAGAGGCGATCGAAGAGGTCGATGTTCGAACACATCGACCAGGGAGGATCGAACCGACCGAACCTCGAGCCAGTCGATCAAGGTTCGAAGGGATCGATGGTCGAGCCAATCGATCCAGGACTACAATAGAGAGATAGACGAGTACTTAAGGAGGAGGTATTCCCATAGTCAGATAGTCTAGTTCTCTATTGATCAATCTAAGCAATAGTTTTACTATTGAGAGTTATACTCTTAACGGCCTTATTGTGATACTGCTCAAAAGCTACTCTGTAGCATTCAACCTGACTTACTTCCTAAGAAACAGACCTACTGTGCCTTAGAACCTAAGCCACCGTTACATTTTGATCAATCCTGTTCAGTAAGTTACCTTGAAACTTTGAGCAGTAACGACTTCCAAGATGTCTACTTCAAGCGGAAAGACCACCAACCCCGGGGAGATGATGAAGTACCTTCATGACAAGATCACCGAGCTCGAGAAGCAGAATCGACAGCTTCTCGACCGACAGAATGATCTCTACGAGAAACTTGAGGCACGAGAAGAGGAACTTGCAGCAGTTCAAAATCTCACACCTGCATCCTCTATCAACAACAACAACATGCCAAAATTCCCCAAGCCTGAATCATACGATGGTTACAAGGGTGATGTGAGGAACTTTCTCACACAAGCCCAAGCTTACCTACGAGTCAACGAAAAAATCTACACGACACCTGAGTCACAGATTCTTTGCATTGGCAACCTCTTGACTGGGAAAGCAATGGAATGGTGGGAGCCAACCCTCCGCGCACATCTTAAGCACGGCGCCGAAGCCGGAGTGGAAGTTGTCCACATCTTCTCTGATTACGAAACCTTTGAAGAACGACTTCTCGCTGCATTTGGAAAAAAAAGGGAAAAGAGGGGAAGGAAGAGAATACTTACCGGACGAAACGAAATGGCCTTGAGGACAAGACCAATGGGGGAGGAGTATTATGTTACGAACCAAGGGTACCTGAAGCAGTTGGCCGGCGTCATGGGCCGCCAGCATGCAGACAAGAATGGGGCCCGACGGGATCGCAGGTCACGTGAGGGGATCAGATGGGATCAGACGGAGATCTGACAGGTCTCTATGTACTGCAAACATCGGCAGCACAGCACACCTCATGATCGACATGACCATAATGGGACGAAAGATCCAGGCAATGATTGATAGCGGAGCACAAGGAAATTTTATCTCGCCGAATCTCGTCAACAGATTACGATTGCCTTGGACACCCAAAGACGAGCCCTACCGACTCACGACTGTGGAAGGAACTGCGGTGAAGTATAGCCAAGAGGACACGATTATAAGCATCCGAAGACGTTCCGCCCGGATTGCAGCTGGTGTAACCACGCAAAGCACATTCGCTGCACCTGTCTTTCCCTTCAGCGACAATGCACTCTCGATTGTTTTTTCGACACGAATCGCAGGAAGGCATGACGAAGCCAAAGGCAGATATGAACTCGGAAAGACGTTTGCGATCAATCTTCTGGTTAGGGCGAGATCGCTGTTTCGAAACACGGTCAGCAGACATTGTGAAAAGAATGACGAAGAAAGAAAAAAAGGGAAAAGAGGGGAAGGAAGAGAATACTTACCGGACGAAACGAAATGGCCTTGAGGACAAGACCAATGGGGGAGGAGTATTATGTTACGAACCAAGGGTCTAGCACAATGGGCTTACAATAGCTCCGAAATTGACAACATGAAGATGTCACCGTTCAGGGCAAACTATGGATTTGACCCTATCATCGAGACACACGCGGCACGAAATGTGAACGCACCAGCAGCTACAGCGCATGCAGCAACGATGACAGAAATACAGAAACACTTGCAACAGGAATGGATATTTTTGCAGAACCGAATGAAACACTACGCGGACAGAAAGAGATTGCCAGCGCCAATCCTAGAGGAGGGACATAAAGTATACCTCATTCGCAAAAACATCAAAACTAAACGACCCAGCCCTGGGAACCAGCCAAGAATCTCACGAACTGCTCGACGTCGCTTGAACAGTTCCACCAGAGAATAAAAACTCATCAGGAATAGGGAAACCCAAGTCTGCTAGAAACTCGGGTGTCTGATTGAGCATGTTGGACTCCAACTCCAGACGCTCCTGGGCCTCTAACTCGTCCAGACTCTCCACACCACGAGCAATCATCTCCGCAGCCTTTTGTCGCAAAAATTTCTCCTGACGACGAATCCTTTGCAAACGAGCCATCGCCCGCTCCAAATCCTCCTCGGCCGAAGCACGTTCTCTGTCGAGACGATCCTTTTCGCGAAGGACACGATTATAAGCATCCGAAGACGTTCCGCCCGGATTGCAGCTGGTGTAACCACGCAAAGCACATTCGCTGCACCTGTCTTTCCCTTCAGCGACACTTGTGCAGTGTCGTTCGTAACAGTAAGGCTATTAAGGATAAGGTGATTAATAACCTTAATAGCATGCCTAAGAAGAACTAAAACGCTCTCTTTACCGCCTATAAGGTCTACTTGTTAAATAATAAACCGAATATTAATACAGTTAAGGTGTAAAACAAGGTTAACCGTATAGCCCTATCTTTAAGGGCTAACACTTAAAGGATTACCTAGACTAGGTAAGAGTGGATAAGACGTACATCTTACTTTTAGAACCTGATAAAAGGCTCTATTAACGCGAAGAGAGAGAAGGTACTAGACCTTTACCAGGTCTGGTATATGATATCATCTGACATGTCAGCCGTGTAACCCCCTAAGAACGTGAACTAGGAGCCCGTTTACCGCTTCTTTAACATATCCTTTCCTAACTTTTCCATGTATAAGGACTCGCTACACTGCTAGAACCTCCTACCTTATCAGGTAGCCGGTAAGTGCCGCGCCCCCCCTAACGCCCCAGCTTCAAAGCCGTCTCGTTTCCTTTCCTAGTAAACGAAGTAAGTTATTTCTCGTTTCCTAAAAACGAGATCGCCCTAAGCATGACCTGCCCCCACTCCCCCTTCTTCTCTTCTTACTAGCCTTATACGCAGACCTTTCTCCCTGGTATTAATACGCAGTCCTACTCACGGTACATGGCTGATTATGTGACGGGTTTAGATCTAGCGCGCATGTATCTGGGGCTTCATGGCCTTTATGACGGCCGGGTGCCTCGTCGAGATTGTCGGATACGCGCCGCGTATTCTGCTGTACAAGAGCCCGTTCGACTTCATCGCCTTCCTCATCCAAATCATCTTCATCACCACGGGTCCGGTATTCTACACGGCCGCCATCTACGTGACGCTCTCCAAGACGTGAGTCCCCTGACATCTGTGCATGATTCCATCAACGGCGGCTGGCTAAAACCTCGCCCACCCCCCCGCGCTGCATTCCAGCATCAACTACCTCGCGCCGCAACTTTCTCCCTTCAACCCCAACTTCTTCTACTGGATCTTCATCCCCGCCGACTTGATATGCCTCGCGCTCCAAGCCGCGGGCGGTGCGCTCTCCACGCAGAGTAAGGGGTCGAGCGATGCGGGGGTCGACATCACCATGGCCGGCTTGGTGCTGCAGGTCGTTGTGATTTTCATCTTCGTCGTCGCCTTTGCAGAATACATGATTCGGTATGCTCGGGATCCCGGCACGCAGGCCCTGACGCCGAGAGTGCGGCTGTTCCTGTCGTTTTTGGGACTGGCAGTTGCCCTGATTCTGGGCCGGTCCATCTACCGAGCGTACGAGTTGAGCAAGGGCTATCGGGGCTCGGATCTTATCACGGACGAGGGGTTGTTTATTGGTCTTGAGGGAGTGTAAGTGCATGGCACCGGCTTGGGGGCTGTTGGGCTGATCCTGTTGCAGGCTGATTGTTATTGCTGCATTTGCGCTATGCATTGGGCATCCGGGGTTGTTGTTCAGCCACAAGGCGAATGTTGCTCGATCGAACTCTGCGTCAGATGTTGAAAAGTAAGTGGCCGCGATTGTAAAGTATGGTGTGTAAGAGAGTATTGGGTGTTTTTTTTTAAAAAAAAAAAAGAAAGATTGGGCTTTGGGACCTGGTTTGGCATCTAGCCCCTTGTCTTTTGTATCGAGACATGTCTGGGGCAAACAATAGATTAATGTCTCATTCGTCCCTTCACGCTAGCAATTTTCTTGCAACTTGTACAGTCATGTAAAAGTCCGTCTATGTATACATTTCTATGCATCGACATGCTTCTCAGAGTCCTTGAACTCGGGCAACTTGAACAGCCGCCTCGCATTATCCCTTCCAATCTTGGCCTTGTCGACCAAATTGATGGGCACGCCGTCGTACCAGTCACACGCGTCGGCAAAGCACTCAAACGGATAGTCGATGGAGAACAGGATGCGGTCGGCCCCAACCTCGGCCATGCAAAACTGCAGAGTCGTCGTGGAGAAGTGCCCGCTGGTGGTGATCCAGATGTTCTGCTGGAAGTACTCCCGGATCGTCTTCTTGCAGTCCAGGCCCAGCGGCTTCTTGACGTCCTCGAACCAGTGGTTGATGCGCCACATGTCGAAGGGGATGTGCTCTCCCAGGTGGCCCAGGACAACCTGCAGTTTTGGGTGGCGGTCAAAGACGCCGTTGGTTACCATGCCCAGGACGTGGAGGGACACGCCTTGGGCGAAGCTGAGAGGAGGGCCGACTAGCCACTTGCGCTTCGCCCAGAGCTTTTCGTAGAGCGAGCCGGTAGGATTACGCGGGTGCAGGTAGAAGGGGACGTCGAGCTCCTCGACGGTTGACCAAAAGACGTCCCATTCGGGGCCGTCGTAGAAGATCATGTCGTCCTCGCCGGCGCGTTGCGTGTCGTTGACGAGGGCGCCCTTGAAGCCGTATTGGGTGACGCAGCGCTTGAGCTCGGTGGCTGCTTCTTGGGGGTTGCGCATGGAGAGGGTGCTAATGATGTTTAGCTTTGTCGAGGCTTTCTTTCAGTTCAATCCCCAATCAGCGGTCCAGATTAGGGCTGATGGAGAGAGAGAGAGAGAGCACGACTTACGCAAAGGCTCCAAATCGATCTGGGTGGTTCTTAATGGCACCAGCAACATAATCGTTAATTTCTACAGCCAGAGCCTGAGCCTCCTTGGGGTCTGAGATATCTTGTACTCCGGGAGCAGTGTATGAGAGAATCGTGTAGCCAACTCCATGCTTGTCCATGTAATTGATGCGAATATCAGTGATGTCCGTCATCTCGGCGGCATGCTTGTCTGGGTTCACGGCAAACAGAGAAGCCCACCATCTCGTTTTCTCGTGAAGGCGAGGGAGGGCAAAAGCCTCCTCGAGAGCTACCTTTCCGTGCATTTCTGGGAACAAGAACAATTGGAGTGTGTGAAAAATATGTATACTGGGTGAGAAAGCAGGGCGCGTAGCTATAAAGGCAGAAGAACCAGAAGGGCGCGAGTCTTTATAACTGGGTGCATGTTTTTTCTCGGCCTAGAGCAGCTCCGATGCCGACGCCGAGCCAAGAGTCCAAGACGGCAGTACTGCATTGGGATGTTTCAGCCAGGGATGCATGAACGCTCGACATTCATTTTGGGTGCCTCGTAAGCGAGCACACCTGTTTGAATCCGACGTGGAGGGATGGATGAGTGTGAGGTTGTGACGGCACTGAGAGCAGTGAGGGGCTGCAGGATCGAGGGGGCGTCGGGGGGCGTCGCGGGGCATCGCGGGGCACAGCCCGCCCACCTGGCATGTCGTATCAGACAGTATCCGCCGGCCAATGCGGGGTATTTTGTACGGCAGGCCGCGTGGAAAATACGGTGCGACGATGGGCGGCATGCACGGCTGACGGGTCAACAACACTGGTAGGAAGTCGAGTTGATTCATCTGAGACTGCCGTCGCACCAACCCTAACCCTAAACCGTATTGACTGCCAACAGACATCCAAGGCAGAGTGACGCGCATAATCCGACGGCCACACGCGCTCCGGCCACGAGACAGGTAGCAAGTAGCTTGTGGTTGAGCTCTCCAAGTATGTGAATTGACCGCGATATTTGTCAAAAAGTCACATTCAAAGGGCGTGACAAAGCAGACCGATTAATCATTCAAACTGTGCTTCCGATGCTGGCTATGGCGAACAGCATGCCTTCGGAATATGTAGTTGTGGATACAGCAAAGTGACGCAAAGTCCAGCTCCCGAGCGACCTCGGCCTCGGATGATCCCGATTCGCGTGATAGTAATAAACTGAAGCTCTCATCAAGACTTGAGAGTCCTCCTGGGCTCCAAGGCTCCATCAGAACACTCGTCTCTGCACCATGGCCAATTCATACCAAGCCCTCTACCCAGGCAACATGGTCGTCTCGCCAGAAATCGTCCAGTTCTTTGAGGACTTTTACCGCATATCAGACCTCCCAGGAGAACACGATCAATACGTCGACCAATTCACACAGGATGCAATATTTATCCTCGCTTCCAAAAAGTCCCACGGGAAACAAGGTTTGTTTGCCTCCCATCTTCTCCAACAGCATCGACCAAGTCTAACTCATGCCCAGATATCATGACTACAAGAATCGGCATGTGGTCCGCAGTAGCGTCTCGCAAACACACTGTCCACAAGGTGTTTTCTTTTTCTAACGAATCTCATGAATTCATGCTGTACGGATCTGTAGCCCTTGGATTGCGCAACGGCGCCCACGCGGATGTTGATTGGGCCGCCAGGGCAGACATTATCAAGTCCGCGGATGGTAAGTGGAGGATGAAGTTTTATCAGGTTTATCTAGTAGGTTGATAGCCGTGGCCACAATCTAGGCCAGTCTTGTTGGTACTAACCAGTGACATAGGACACCGGGGCGATTACATCGCCCGCCAAATAGTAGAGCAAAGAATACAGGTATATAGATGTGATGCTTCAAAACTTACGTTATACGAATCTATTTCCTTTATGCTCGCGATACTTGACCAGTGCCACCAACACCTTCAACGAATGCGCCTACCAAATCCTCCACTTCCGGCGCCGCCTCAATGCAATGCCAGTGTCCAACGTCAGCCAGTAACTCAATTCGCTTGAGTCCGTCCTCGACTCCCCAACTGCAAATGCCAATTCAGAAAGCGGTCCTACAGAGTCGTAATCCCCAGGAGCCACGAGCGTGTACGTACCTGTTCAGAATGTCCTGGGACCCGGTGAGCGGTGCGGTTTTGTCATGCGAGCCAGCAATGATAAGCAGCGGACACTTGATGTCCTCGTATCGCGGCCGTTTTGCGTTTGCAATCGTCCGACAGAGCGACTTGTATCCTTCTGCCGTCTGGGCCAACAAGAGGGCTCGGATAAAGGCCTTTTGTGTAGCTGTTGCTTTGGGGCCCGTAGCTGCGAACGGAACCACGTTTGCTACGCCTTCCATACCCTCTGCGGGCGATATGAAGATTAGACAGGCATGTTTAGAAGGAATTCTTTGGCTTGTGCCCAGTTCTTACCATTCTCGACAAGCTTGATCCGCGCATCGAATACATCTGCCAGTGCCGCTGAAGGATTCACAGGCCCGATAAGGACGACTCCCAGGATTTCCAGGTGAAGAGCTAGTTCGCTAGCGATTATAGCTCCCATGGAATGTCCAACGACAACGATGCGTTTGGCATGGAGCTCGAGAGCTGCGATGAGAGCTACTGCCGCGCCGCATATTGCTTCCCCGTCGCTGTCGCTCCCCCTGTACGTCGATGAGGCACTTCCTACACGAGGTCAGTTTACACCGTGTTATGAAAAGCTCCTGTGAGATTGTTGAGGCGGCATACCTGGCGTATCAAATGCGAGGCACGAGAAGCCCTTCTGTACCAAGCCTGGAATAATTGACGCGTAGAATGAATTGCTCGACCCCAGCCCATGAATGAGGAGCAAAATTGGCCCCTCGCCTGCCGGATCCCAGCTGTAATACAGGTCTTGATTGTCAATTTGAATCGTAGGCATCTTCTACTTCCAAAATTCGAAGCCGAGCCTGCGACACGATTTCAACCGGTTCAACTGGAGACGCTCGAATAATAATAGCTCGAGCCGAAGCAGAGCACCAGTGTAACCCCTTGACGTCCAGCCCTCCAGCACGTCCCGAGCTCCAAGAATAGTATGATCCGATCAAGTTTCTGCTGTGGAGCTTATCGGAAGAAACTCGACTCCATCGGAACTTGCACTTTTCACGGTTCATGTCATCGCAACACCATGTACACCAATTATCCGACCTTGCAAGCCAAAGCGTGCGGCGGTTCGTCAAAAAGGAAAAAAAAATAATAATAACCCGAGCACATTATTTATCAGGCAACGAAACCCCGGGCTCGGGCGGAAATGAGCCGTCTTGACATGTAATTTTCCCGGCCAATTACCCGAAACCGTTAACCTTTGCCAATCATAACTGGTCACCACCACCAACACCACTGCCACAGAGAATCCCGAACGCACACACCTGGCTATGGACTCCAAACACACTCCATACAGCTCTGTAGCCGAGACGTCCAGAATCCTTGATTTTCTACTGCCATTGTTCGACCATGTCTCCCTCCCAGCACAAGCGAGAAATAAGCGTGCAAATGTCCGCTTCACAGGCACCAGGGACCAGCCGTACTTCCCCATCCCCTTCAAAGAAACCGAGCTCTCCGCCGCATTGAAAGCCATAGAGGGATGCGTGGCCTCGGCCCTGGCAGATGAGAAATTCGGCCAGGAACAAAGAGACAGACGGATCGTCGTGGACCAGGAGAAGACCACGGCATTCCTGTTCCAGGCTTACCTGGCGAGGGTCGGGGGGCTTGGAAAACTAGACGACAAGGTTCGGGCGCTTTTGAAAGGTGAGAAAGAAGGAAGCACGCGTTGCCAAAGAAGCCATGTCAAATTTTTGAGCTCAAGCTGAGGGAGAGGCCCTAGACACCGACCTGTTGCAGGCGCAGTCAAACCCGTACCGGCGCATGTCTGCGAATCTGTACGAGACTGCCGAAAAGGGCGAGTATTATCATATCCATGGGTCTCTGGAGGCGTCGACCACGTTGAGCATGATTGGGCTGGCGCCGCACCGCCCGGACCTGGAGTCGCACCAAGACATTGTCGATACCATCGAGCCGGCGGTAAGGAAGTATACCGTTGAGCAGCTGGAGGCGATGAATGCCCAACACCGACAAGCTGGCGTCAAGGCGTTTCGGCACGATGAGTTTCTACAGACTCCGCATGTAAGTACATTCGTGTGTTTTTCTTTTATATTTCATAGGTGACATGCATACAAGTGTCGGTGCTGACGACGCCGCAGGGCAGAGAAAACTGGTCACTGCCGCCTTGGTCGGTTGAGAACTTGGAGACGAGCACGCCCAAGACGCCGCTGCCGAGCACTGGTGATGAAAGGATGCTATCGGGCATCAAGGTCCTGGACTTGTGTCGCATCATTGCGGGCCCGACAATCACGCGGATCCTGGGCGAATACGGCGCAGAGGTGCTCAAGGTGACGAGCCCGAATCTGAGCGACGTGCCGTTTTTCCAGGTTGATGGAAACATGGGAAAGCGCACCGCCGATCTCGATCTGAAGACGCCAGAGGGGCGGCGAGTACTCGACGAGTTGCTGCGAGATGTAGATGTCGTCGTGGACGGATACCGGCCCGGCGCCTTGGAGAGGCTCGGCTACGGACCGAAAGCAATGGCGGATATTGCTGCCAAACGAGGCAGGGGCATCGTGTACGTCAGCGAGAATTGCTTCGGATACAAGGGCGAATGGGCAGGCCGGCCTGGCTGGCAGCAAATCGCCGACTGTGTAAGTCGGCCTATCCATCCATCCCTCTTTGGCCTCACAGCACTGACACTTGCCATGACGCAGGCCACGGGCATCGCGTGGGAACAAGGGCGCTTCATGGGCTTGGACGAGCCCGTTGTTCCGCCGTTTCCCATTTCCGACTACGGCACCGGCTGCATCGGCGCCATCGCCGCCTTGGCGGGCCTGTATCACCGCGCGACAAGGGGCGGATCATGGCACGGCATGGCTTCTCTTTTACACTACGACCTGCTCCTGTTCAAGGTCGGCCTGCTCCCACGGCATGTCCAGGAAGAGCTCCGAAGACAGGCGGGGCCAGAGTTTCTCGCCTTGCGTCACGCTCATAGCGTAGACCAGATTTCGGGGACGGCCCTGAGACGCATGCGGCAGCTATTTCCGGAGTTTGTAGATGATCCCAAGTACTTGGATCACTGGTATTCGGAGGGGTACAAGGCGAATGTATCTGCGGTTTTACCCGTGGTGGAGATTGAAGGCTTGGATATCAGTTTTCAGAGGGCGAGTCGGCCGAATGGAAGCAACACGGCGAGCTGGGATCGTGGTGACGGTGGTGAGGAGGGGGATCGTAGAATAGCGGCCAGTTAGGTGTTTTACATGATGGGCGGTTTTGCTTGGGATGAATGGGTTTGGCCAGCTACGAATTGGCGGTAGTCATGAAGTAATTCGATGCCAATGGTAAACAACTTGTCTGTAGACATTGCATTAAGGATTGGCCAATGAGATGTTTGCTATCTACAATGAATCATGTCGGTATCCATGATATATCCCCGTCTTCGACGTCGAGATTATAAGAACAGGATTATCCGGGAACTACAGTGGGAGGTAAAAAGCATATAATCAGATTAGGTGCCTGGCTATCGCGCTGTAAACTAGAATATATTATGTATATTGATATTTACGGCTTAATGAGTAACTATCTTTTGCTACAAATCGTATTCAATTCTTCACCCTACGAGTTAGTCCACATTCTTCTTGCTATACTCGACCCTCAACACACGATAGCCGCCGGAATACCAACAACCCGCAACACTGACTCGACGCCACCCAACAGCAGCGGGCGGATGAAGCACCATTGACCCCGGGTCACATCCGATGCCATCGGAACATGTCAAGCTGCTTTTCCCCAACTTTCATGGCGCCACCTGCAAGTGTGTGGAGTTTGCCAACGCATGGCACCGGAAACGGGGGAGTTGGTTGCGCCCCTAATCGAGCCAGAACATACCGACGGCGGCAACTTCTGTTGCTCAAAGTTCCGCGTACATAGTTACGTACGCTCTGATCAAAGGCCCTGATTAGCCGTAGCTGTGTAATTAACGACTGACAGGCAACTCGGGTCTTTGACAAACACAGTGGTGTGATGCCAACAGCAACCTCGGTGTTATATGTGTAACAATCCCCGCAAACCATCCAATATAAAGACACAATCGTCCCGCAAGCTTTATTGATTACAATTCCCTTGTGCTGTATTGGCCCAAATCAGCACGACGACGTCCCTGTCACACCACGCTATGATAACACTCATGACGTCTATTTAAAAAAAAAAAAAAAGGCCAGCAACACCAACACAAGACCCGCGCCCATGTCGTCCAACCATCAGAACGGCGCCGTTTTAGGCACAGAATTCACCCAGAATGTGATTGACGCCATGGGGCCCAAGACCAGCCCCCGGCTGCGGGAGGTCATGGCCGCCCTGATCAGGCACATCCACGACTTTGCGCGAGAGGTGCAGCTCACCACGGACGAGTGGATGGCCGGCGTCGACATGATCAACGAGGCAGGGCGGATGAGCAACGACAAGCGCAACGAGGGACAGCTGCTCTGCGACGTCATCGGCCTAGAATCGTACGCTCGCCCCTGTTGACTGTTGAACATGTCCCCTCTGCCCCTGCCGCGCGCCGCTAACCTCCCCCAAGCCTCGTCGACGACATCACCTTCACCGCCGCCACCAACAGCACGAGCGGCCTCACGGCATCCGCGGTCCTCGGCCCGTTCTGGAGGCAGGACACGCCGCGCAGGGAGAACGGCGCCACCATCAGCTTCGACACCCCGCCCGACGGACAGGTCGTCTACATGCACGGCAAGGTGACCGACGTTGCGACCGGAAAGCCGCTGCAGAATGCGTCAGTCGACGTCTGGCAGGCGTCCACCAACGGTAAAAAAAGCACTCCTGTCCCTTGCCTCTCATCCGTCTCAACACGCTAACTTATACGCCGCAGGCCTTTACGAGCAGCAAGATGCCGGCCAGAGGGAGCACAATCTCCGCGGCGTCTTCCACACCGACGCCGAGGGCAACTACTCATTCTACTGCCTCCGGCCGACGCCCTACCCGGTTCCCATGGACGGCCCGGCGGGAAAACTGCTCGCCATGATGGATCGTCAGGTCTTCCGCCCCGCGCACATTCACCTCATGGTATGTAACCTCCCTTGCACTCGTGCCTTTTTGGAACCAAAAGGTCTTGTCATCTAATGAGAAGGAGCAGGTCCAACACGACGGCTACAAGTCTTTGACTACCCAGATCTTCGACAAGGAGTGCAAATACCTTGGCAACGACTCCGTGTTTGCCGTCAAGGACGAGCTGACCGTGGAGTTTGTGCCGAGAAAGGGCGACGCGAAAGCTCCCCTCGAGCTGGAGTACAATATCACCCTGGCAGAGACGTCGTGAGACGGACCGAGGGCGGAGGGGTTGTGGTGTGTCGACGGAATACAAGAGGGGGGGGGACGAATTGCCGTGGAATGAGAGCATCTTTCTTTGTGTGACATGATGAAAGGGGCGGGAATCGGGCAGACTGTAACTTTAGCGATGAATCCATATTCTTTCCTCCATTCGGGTGAACATTGATTCTGATATTGCCATGTTTTTGCTTTCCAACTGCGTCGTGGCGTGTATGAACTTGTGAAGTACCAAAAGCAAGGTATCTAACAGAACAACTACCGCAACACTTTCGTGCATATATAGACATATGCTAACTTACTTTTTGTCAACACCAGACCGCTAGAGCTTCCAAGATGCCTTGCAAGCGGTCTACACATTCAGCAACATCGCCAAGACCACAACCAGGCGGGCCATCACAACATACAGAAGCTTGACGTAAATTCGCAGAACAATCTGCTATTATGGCTATGCAAACCGTGTCATATACAAAAAAAGTCATCTCATTTCAATCTTATGCCCCAACGACAACACCACTCGGCAGCTCCAACCCCATCGGCAGCCCATCAATAAACTTTTCCGTGTACGCCACCCCCCTTCTTTGAGCAAGATGCTGCTCAATAGCCTTGTACATGTCATATCTGCAAGTTCAACTTAGCCCAGAGCCTCAAACACGGGCCGCACAAATTCACACACTTACGAGTTCATCTCCTCAATTGTCAGAATCTTCTTCGGGTCCTCCACCTTGTACGTCGTGGTAGACTTGTTGACGGAGAATCCTGATCTCCAATTAGCGCCACTGTCCCAAACCGTCACCCATATCAAGCTTCAGTGAAAAAAAACCATACCGATTCTCTCGTTAATGTTGTACGCCGCCTTCGCTGCAGCAGCCTGCACCCTCGTCACCCTCGGCAGCCGCACTGCGTCATACACAGCAAGGGCCTCGGCGATACTTCCTCCAAAATGGTTCCTGTCAAACAATATGCCCAGCGCGGCGGCATCTTCAATGGCCATACAAGCGCCCTGGCTCTGGTGTGGCATCATCGGGTGGCCCGCATCCCCCAGTAGACACACCTTACCCTTGTGAATGTACGGATACGGATCGTGAATCCATAGCCTCCAGGGTCGAATCTCCTTTCCGATCTCGAGGTGCTTGAACACCTGGCGGTCCAGCTCCGGATACGGACTGAGCAGCTCCTCGACGGGGCGGTCGGCTGCTCCCCAGGTCTGGTTGGCATAGTCTCCCTGCTCGCGGGGGAAGAAGCAGTAGTATGACAGGAGCTTGCCGTCGTTGCACGGAGACAGCACGATTTTATCCCACTTGCCCTCCTGGCCACCCCAGTACTCGAGGGCGCTGTGCTGCGAGTAATCGACGAGGCCGAGCTTGACGGCCTCTTCAGTCGTGACATTGGCATGGAGACAGCTCTGCTCCGAGGGGCGCTTCTCGGGGCGAATGCCGATGGCACAGCGGACCGCCGAGCCGATCCCATCCGCGCCGATGATGAGGTCGTGATGCGCCGTGACGCCGTTGTCAAAAGTGATTATCCCCGCTTCCACATCAACGTTTTTACACTCAAAAGAGCTCAAGTTAGTGAAAATCTCCCCCAGAAATCATTTCAGACTTGCCAGAAAAAAAAAAAAAAAAAAAAAAAAAAAAAACTAACCTTGTGATTGACAACTAGCTTCGCCGGCGTACCCTCCCCTTCCTCTCCCAACGCACTGTCCTTCAACATGGAATGCATATACTGCCGATGAAACATGTTGTAGACGTACCCCCATTTCTCCTCGTAGTCTTCCAAATCATACACGCTTACAGGTTCTCCCGTCTTCCAGTCCCTGTTTATCAGTTTCTTGAGGACGACGGGATCGCCCTTGGCAACGTCGACTTTCCACTCGTGCAGCCATCTCGTGCCGTTGGCAGCGCAAGACACGGAAGCTCCCACTTCTCCCGCAAAATCAGATTTCTCATATATGGTTACAGCGTGGCCGGCGCGACGGAGGGCAATGGCGACGGACATGCCGCCTATGCCGCCGCCGATGACGCCCACGTCGAGCCTTCGCCAGCCTGGAGTGTCTTTGGATCCCATTGGTGATTTAGTGCAAGTGAATATGTCTTATTTGTGATTGATCCCAAGGGAATGCAGTTGAAATAGAATGCAGAAATCTGTCAGTCAGATGCATTGCTTCGTCACATGAACAACTATATAGCCACAAGGTAAGGCAATAGGCCGGCACCGAGTGCTGAGACTGTCAAACCTTGTCTGCAAGGAATGTTTTATGTGACATTGCGCTGGAATTGCGGCTTCTGTCGCCACGGTGCATTACCCGCCGCGTCGGCTACGTACCGCCATCGAAAAATGTTGGTGCCACAACGCACATCCGCCACGCCGACCAGATCTTACCCGTGCAAAAGACAAATTAGGGGGATTGTGTAAGCCGCCGTTATCCGTAGGTCAAGGATATCGAAATTTTGTCTGTGAGACGGTCGGAGACGGCAGGTCGGAAGCGTGGGCAGTATTCGACGGCTTAGAAGTTAGACGTCCATTGTAAATTGCCGTGAGACGCACATAAACTGCGTCCATATATTCGTAGACGCTTAACATTGTGGCCGACTTTCCGTAAATTATCATTTGTTCACATGTCTGATAGATTACTCCAATACAAAATTGGCGCAACTGCACACGCTAAAATTCCAGGTGTTTTCGCGAACCAGCTAGCGCCTCGCTTTTAATCAACGATACCCTGCCAAGATCAAGGAACAAATGGAAAGTTATCCCACTGTGATATGTCCAGACTATCCCAGCCCAGAAACACTTCTTGTCCTGGATCAGCGGGCGTTCTGTCGTCACTGAGCCAGTTCCCTGCATTTTCAGCCAACGGGGGAACGAGGCCGCCAACTAAAGGTGTGAGTCGTCCTTGGTCATCTCGAGGGCGGTCCGAGACCGGCTCTTTTGCTTCTTGGAGAGTGAATATTTTGGACACGTATCTGCTACGTCCTGTTGAAGCGGCATTCTGCCGTTGCTTAGAGATGGCGTTGGACAGTAAAGTCAATATCTCGTAGTAATGCCCCGCTTGTGGACTTTGCGTAGCCAGAAAGTTGAGTATGTCCCTTGCACCAGCAAATGCAGCTTCAATGTCGAATTCAATAGAACGCATTGCGAAAATTTCGAATCCCAACACTAATCCCGCAGCGAATACCAAGGCTCTGCTAAATAGTTAGCCAAGCTGCACAGTATGCCAAGGGCAAGAGCTTACTTCATGATACACATGTTCCCGTACAGAATATCCACTTTCCTAGCATCCATACAAGCCTGGATCAGATAAACAGCGGCATCCAGACATGCGGAAGCCAATTGGGATTGGATCAGCCCTCCACTTGCGGGAGGTGCTGTCAGGGTCGATATGAGGATTGGCCGTGTAACGAGAGTAACAGCGAAATAGTATAAACACGAGACATGGACGCTACCGATGGCTCCTTTGGTATAACTCGAGCCAGACAATGCGCGGCCCTTTGCAGGGGATCGGAGACAGCTAGGTAGACTTTGTGACCAGGATCCAATTTCATTGAGGAGGTTTTCGACTACAGACGTAGATATTTCCTTTCTTTCGTACAATATGTCAACTATACCATTGATAATTGACACAATCTGGTGCGAGGCGATTAGACAGGCCATTTCATCCGTCTGCTCCGTTTGAGATACATGTTCGAGTATAGTGTTGACATCAGAACTTAGTCCCGCAGTAGCTGCAGGCCGGCCCAAGATTGCGTTGACAAGCATATCAACAATGCGCAGGCTGACCCAAATCCGAATTCTTTTCTCTCGTTAGTGAATTTGCGCTGTGAGTTTTCGGTTCCAGAAACCCACCGTTTGTTATCATCTAGGTCATTCGAGTTTTGGTATGATTCTTGGCTATGCAAACCCAGAGCCACCGCAGCTCGAGTAGCAATTCCCAGATACATAAACGCAGCATTCCGGCGGCATTCACCTAGAAGGTAGAACGCCATGAGCAAGAACGACCTCACTACATCAATATCTGGGTCTTCCAGCATGCCCTGGAACGCTTGAGCCTGAGCCTGTCTGAAGTAGCCTTGTCCGATGTCGCGGGCACTGGCGGCGGATTTGCACTGAGCACCAATAGAAATAACCATGCCCAAGGCCGCTCGCTTTTGCGGACTGAATGACGAGTCGTCAGGGAGCATGAAGTATTGCTCAATTTCAGTGGGCGCAAATATGTCAATGAATCCCTCGGTCTAGGCATATTGTGCTGTCAGTTTAGCGCTATCAACCTCAGCTGGTGATGTTCCAGGCCCAACCTACCACAGCGCGGTAACATTGAGAGTAGAGAAGTTTGGTCTCAACATCCAACTCTGGAGGGGTGGAACTTCGAAGATGCCGCATAGAACTTGGTGACTCTTTCTCAAGCATGGTGTCGCTTTTATCATTGTGCGAGAATTGCGAGGGCCCAATCTGGTCCGCGACAATAGATCGAACAAGCTGCAAAAACGACAATGAAGCAGCACCTCCGATGTATACTAGTACAGCAGTTAGCAGGTGTTGTGGATTCAAGGTTTGAAGGTGATATCATGCCTCGCTCTCCGCGCAAATTTAAGAGCATTCTGGAATGTGGGTTGCCAGATGCCGAAGAGGCATCCGAAGCCTGGTGCCGCCGACGCTCTGGACTCTCTGAGCCCTCGAAACTAGGTCGTGAATCTGATGGCGATGGGGGTCGAAAAGATGATGCATCTGGTCCCTTCCTTCTGCCCTTCCCGTTGACATTCAAGACAGGAAGTTGAGCGGATGGAGTGCATCCAGGGCCGCTCGTCACAATATCCAACACGTCACTCTGGGCTTCGAGTCCGATCCTGTGAGGCTGCGTGTCACTTGGTAGTATTGGGCCGTCGGATGCAGCCTGGTTTCTTGAGCCTCGTGATCGCAATGTAATAATGCACTGAGATCCAATACCGCGACGGAGACAATGAGAACAAGGAGCCGTGCCGCTGCATTTCTTCTTGGCGTCTCGGCAGAAGTTGCAGGCTTCAGCTGCACGACGCCGTTGGCTAGGGAGGACTTTGGGACGAGGCATGGTTCTGCCGTCCGCATGGCGACTAGCCGACGATGATGCGGGCTACATGTGCAGTCATGATGTTGCGAAATTTCGTGAAGATGAGGTTCAACGGAGATGACTTGAACCGGTCAGGAAACCAGGGTACCTGGATTCTTCCCCGCGGCCACTCCCATCTGGTACATGCTGGTGGGCTCAAAAGTTCCGATAACAACCGTTGACGGCTTAATGGCAAGGGCCCACTGGGCATGCTGAACAGGCACGATGACGCTGCAGGAGCGGGCACAATCCAATTAGACGTCATTTCGCATTTGCTGCTTCGTACGGAGTATTTGTCACTAGAACCGGAATTCCCCATAACGCACCAATTGTTAAAGACGGCGAAAGTGGTTAGTTTTCTTCAGGCGACAGCTGCGACAGATTTGTTCAAATGTTGTTGCTCTACTTGTCCTTAGAGGCAGCGAAGGCTCCAACGATGTATTCTGATTAGGGCCAATAAGCAGTTTTGATTATTGGTACTTTTATTATCACTTTGTTCCCACCAAAAAAGAAGTCAAGTATCAATAATTCAATTACAAGGTTCTGCCGGGGGGTCCCAGGGCCTTGTGGAGAGGGATACCTCACTGGAGCCTTCGCTGCCTCCAAGGGACACACATAGTACTACTTAAGTACCTGCTGTAGGTACGGAGTACTAGAGGTACTTTAGGTTAGCGCACTGCGAAATTACCCAGTGCCTTGTAATGCCAATGGCTTGGTAACTTTCAATTTTATCAGAGTACTTAAGTACTTAGTAGTTATCTAGCTGAGTTTCATCTTGCACCTGGAAGCAGGAGTATCTCTATTTTAAGTCACAAACTGAAAAAGAAAAAGAAAAGTTTATCTTTTTTTACTTATACCTAAACTCGGGTTTTCTTATGTATTCTTTCTTAGGTACCAGAGTTAATTAGCTTTAGTGCGCCACAGGGGAGCTTAATGTTTGATGGTCATGTCGTAGGACCAGACGCAATAAGTACCAGTTGACGTACTGGCTACCGAGCAGTACGTAGCCAGACAAGGCACTTTGCCATCGCGCTTCATATTACAGAATACCTGGTACTTTAGTATGTTGGTGTCTACTTCTTGATAGACAGATATATTCTGCCATGTACTGTCGACTGGAGCAAAGATCGCCAAAATGGGCCCGAGTCATCCGGATGACAATGCATGGTCGCGGTGTCGTCTGGTGCAGATGTCTGGTATCTCAATCCTACAGTTGTACAAGTTCCCCGCCTTGCTTGAACTTAAACTTCCAATTACACCATGGATGGCGGTGCACGTGTTGACCTGCCGCGCAGCGTAGCATCTTGGAGTGCCCGCTAGCGTTGCGCCTATGCAGACAGAGTTCGAACGTTACAGACGGCATCTTCCCCGTCAAAGTTTCTCTATTTCTTTCTTCTTCTTTATGCTTGATGCCTACCTGTGTCATGGCTATTTCAACTATGCTTCCGGCCCTCTCCAAACCCCATCTCCCTTTCTTGGGACGTCGTCAACCGCGGTCGTTGCCTTTGCTCACACTCCTCATCGTCTTGTCCAGCACCTTCACAATGCTGCTGCTCTTCTACATGATGCTAGGCCTGGGGCCGCTCCTCTCGCCGTACCTCGTCAACGGCCAAACCTTCAAGGATTACCGATCGCGCTGTAGTTTTGACGCCGACAAGTCATACTGGCCTGATTGGGTGTCGTCGCTCCCAGACGTAGTGAACATCTCCAGCCTGAGCATCCCCGGAACCCACGACACCATGACCTACACCATTTCCAATTCTACGCTGCAATGCCAAAACTGGGACCTCAAGACGCAAATATACGCCGGAATTCGCTACATCGACATCCGCGCCCGCGTGACAAACAACGTACTGACCACCTACCACGCCGACGAACCAACCGGCGTCACCTTCGAGCGCATCCTCCTCACCATCTACGACTGGCTCGATACCTACCCTCGCGAGTGGATTATCATGCGCATCAAGGAAGAAGGCGAGCCCATTGGCCAAAGCAACATGACCTTCCAGGAGGTCTTCGATGATACCTTCAACAACTACTACTTCATCAAGGAGCGCGCCAAGAAGCACTGGTATGTACACAACAACTCCATGCCGCTCCCCTCAGTCGGCCAACTGCGCGGCAAAGTCTTGTTCCTACAGGAATTCCCGTCAACCCCGCCCTGGAAGTACGGCATCGAGTGGAACGGACCCCAGATGATGCTGCAGGACGAGTGGATCGTCAAGGACGTGGATCATCTGGATGACAAGTGGCAGGCTATTGAAGAACATTTCGAAATGACCAATTTCAAGCCCAACGACAACGGATACCTATACGCGTCGCACCTTTCTGCCTCTGTGGGCGTCCTGCCCGTTGAAGCGGCTGGAGGACCCCTTAACCGGTCTATAGTGGGCATGAATGATAGGTCCTGCAACTACATGGAATGGCACTTCACCGAACCCGGCTCCCTAAGGCTCGGTGTGGTCATTGCAGACTTCCCAGGCCAGGTTCTCATTTTCGACACTATCAGGTTTAGCAGACGGTCGTATAACGACTAAGAGCCACTGTATCACGTATACTATAATATACCCTAGTATATTATAGTATTTGGTATTTACTCCTTCTCAGGACAAACCATATTCTGTCGCGGACTGTACAACTGTCCCGTGGATGGTTAAAAACAGGGTAGTGGCATTGTACCTACTTGTCTGGCCCATCATCACCAGATAGCTCTCGGATGGCGCACTTGAGGGCCTGGCCGTATCCTCCATATCGGAGGTACTGTGTGTGGCAGGGTGGTATGGGCGATTCTAGATGTCCTGGCTGGCCTCTTGGCGGCGGCGCCCCTACATACGGATATCAATCTGGACGCGGAGTCTGGCTGATATAGCAGATACCACAGCTGAGCCGCACCGGGCTTGATCCAAGCCGTGCGGTGATTTTATCTAATTAGAGTGGGAGGCAAAAATTATTTAGCCAGGTCGGGTACATATGTGGTGGTATATTAGTGTATATTTCTGTTGGAAATACAGCAGCAATTTACACAGCGGAAAGGGTGGTTATTTGGAAGGCTTTCCAAGGCCTCAATCGAACGAATTTGATATAATTTTGGATGCAAAACTCTGTTGAACACATTGAGTACTCGGAGAATTGACCCTTTTGATATACCCTGTTGGAGCCCCTCAAGACCTCTGCCATGACCCTCAACCCGAGCCTTAATTTGAGCGCCAGAAAAATCGACCATGATGATCAACAGCCTCTGAATATCACCTTTTTCGCCCAACAACTTCTTGTTGGACAAACATATTCTGCAATAGACTGTGTTGTAGTCTTCTTCTCTGTAAAGGTCAGGCATAGAATGCCCTACTACGCTTCTCTGAATGGAAAGAAAAGAAAATTCCAAATCATAAACAAATCATCCACACTTTCCGCTGTATGTATTGGGGAAGACATGCATGTAGTAGGGTCCCAGTAATTTCGAGGAAAACCTCCACCTAAAAGCACGCATTTCCTTATAAAATATTAATTAAAATAATAATATTTTAAAGTATATAAAAGAAATCAAAATGATTATTAGATTAAGCAAGAAATCACCGTTTAAATATTCACCTTGTCACGCGGTTAGATGTGTTGTGTGTTGTGGATATTTCGGAATTACCGGGAGGGACTGTTAGACAGGCACTGCCCTTCCTCCGCTCAAGATGGTGTAATTCATGTACTTTGTTCACGCCATGTAAAGAAACGCTGCGCCGATATCACCGTCGGCTAAAACGGCAACTAGATCCCTGACAATTCACACCTAAACAATCGGGATACAACATTGAAGTATCCCCGCATTGTGCCGTGTCACTCGAGCCTGATATGTACGTATATATGTACACTGAACACCTTCCTAGTCGATCCGATATGGCGAGTCGAGCTGTTCGCCATGTAATGACAAATTAGGCAAGAGCAGTGGTCAGGTCAGGTCAGCCAGGCGAGCAATGGTTGGGTGGTATGCATTCTCGGTCCGAGTTGTTACCTCGGCCTCAACCAACATTGAAGCCAGAAGGAACAACCGACATTAAATAACCAGTTGACGGCCTCAATGTTGCCCTCTCTACAATTACCCCTATAGCCATCAGAAAAAGGCCGCCAACTCTTCACAACCACCCAAAGGCAAGAAATCACCAGAATCCAACATCGCAAATGCCCTCCAGACCGTCCTTCAACGACCTGCCCCTCCGAAAGGACGGCCCTCCAGGCAATGCTTGGGGCCTCTTCGGGCCAGACGACCAGGTCGGCATGCTCAACCTTCTTACGCCAGAGACCACGGCCAATGCAGCTCGCGAGATTGTCGACGGAGTGCGCGTCTCAACTGACTGGTATCTGGACAGCATGTCGCCTCCCTGCTTTGGTCGCCGTCCCCTAGAGCATACTCTGAAGCAAATGGCCTCGATGACGGTGACTGATGACGAGTTGGTGCTCAACACGCAGGCTAGTTCGCAGTGGGACGGGCTTCGGCACTACGGCTATCAGAAGGAAAAGGTGTACTTTAACGGCAAGACGCAGCAAGACATCTCAAGCACGAATGTAAATGGGATTCACGGTATGACCTGGGTCTCTCTCACATACATAACGGTAGCGTGTAAGTGCTGACGAACTTGCAAGCATGGGTTGAAAACGGGGGCATCGTAGGCCGCGGCGTTCTTCTGGACTACGCTGCTTGGGCAGACGCAAATGGAGTCCAAGTCGAGCCATTCGAAACAGTTTCAGTCCCGGTGTCTACGTTGGCAAAAGTTGCTGCTGCCCAGGGAACGTCCTTTCAACAAGGTGATATTCTCCTTATCCGCACCGGCTGGACGAGGGGGTATCAAAAACTCTCGGCTGGGGAGAAGGCCGCGGTTGCTGCTACACATCACCCTCCGTCTATCGGCATCGAGTCTTCCGAGGAAACTCTGCGATGGCTCTGGGATAATGGGTTTGTTGCGGTCGCGGGTGATCATCCGGCAATGGAGGCGTGGCCGTGCCAGAATCTCGACTTTCAGCTGCACCAATGGCTACTGGCGGGCTGGGGCATGCCGATTGGCGAACTATTCGACTTGGAGAGACTGAGCGAGGAGTGCGCCAAGAGGAATAGATGGACATTCTTTTTCAGCAGCATGCCTCTCAAGGTGAGCAACTTCATTATTGAATGTAGTTTGGGTGCTGACATTGATAGGTTCCCGGCGGTGTGGCCAGTCCACCAAATGGGGTGGCTATACTTTGATGGTTAGCCAAGAGGAAATAGTACTCACTGCTGATCTCGTGGTACTTGATTCGCATCTTGGCCTATACTATGCATTATGTGAAACATGTTGCGCTGTGAAATGTTCTACTAGTGTATACAACAGTTGCGTGGTCTGCCATCCCACGTCTTCTTCATCCATGCCCATGCCATCATGACGCAACACCGGCATATCTCTCTAATACCTCCTTGCCAGGACACCACTTATCCTGCAGCTCCTTGTCGAGAGTCTTTGCAATTACATGCCTGTCCCACCACTCGCCCCAGCTCGTCAAGAAAATGCGATCTGGATCCTCTGGAAAGTCGCTACGAGACAATGCAGCGATAACGCTCCTTGCACCCTCGGGCACCGACTTGGCATCAGGCAGATTCGGCGGAATCTGGAAGCCTTGGCCGCGCCCAAGGCCAGTGTTGGGAATCAGTCCCGGCGAAACAGCCACGACGTCACACTGGCCCTTGAGCTGGCGACGCCACCAATGCGCTCCGAGTAGTTGGGCGAATTTGCTGCCGGCATAAACAGAGTAGCCGTCGGCTCCAGAACCGTTGGCAAGCCTTTCTTCAAGGGTAGCTGTTCATAGTCAACTTTCCGAATGCCGAACCCAGTAGGACAAAGGGTAGACTTATCAAGAGACGTACCAGGATCTTCAACATTGCGAATAGCACCAGAAGAAACAACGACAATTCGCGCCTTGGAGGCAACCAGCTTCTCGCGAAGCAAGTGCGTCAAATAATGCTGAGCTGACGCCAATGTTTAGCTACAAAGCCGATGCAGCCCGAACTAGGCACACACACAAAGAACTTACAAAAGTGGTTGACAACAGCGGCCTCGCACCATTTACCATGGGAAGCCTTGTCTGCGGGCTTGAACATGCCGGCATTCAAGAGCAAATAATCAATCTTGCCGCCGCCGACACTGTCCAGCGCCTGCTGAGCAAACGTCTTGACCGTTTTCAAGTCGGCCAGTTCCACGGGCAGCACGGTCACGGCATTGGCCGTCTTGTCGTACTGCATGCGGGCGACGGCATCGCTGGTGGCTTTGATGTCTCGCGCTCCGAGGATGACTCTGTAAGGTGTAGCTTGCTCCAGGAGCTGTTTCAGCACTTCCAGGCCCTATGTCCGCGTTAGATTCTGCATTGCGCATCAGGGGATGTTCCCACACCTACGATGCCCGAGGAGAGACCTGTGGCGACGATGGTCTTTGCAAGAGCAGCCATTGTGTGGTGGTTCGGCGGCCAATGGTGGTTTTTCTTGTGTTACGCATTGTCGTGGCCCATTGGGAGATTTATACTTTTGGTCCAAGTGGTTGTGATGTCACGGCTTGCGCCAATGGCGTTGGTCTACGGTGGCACATTAGCTAAGGTCCGCAGTTGCTGCCACAACCCCACATCTAGCATTTTAAGCGATTTTAACGGTTTAAGCGGTTTAAGTAATTTAAGCTATATATATAAAGTTAATCTTTACTTTATTAATTCTTTTATATAAAGAAATTAATTATTAATTTAAAATACTATAAAAAAATATTAA